GCAGAATCAAGATCCTGTTCCCTCCCCCCGGTCTATCGCCCACGTTTTTCCCAACTGGTTGAGGAACAAGAAGCGGCGCAGCTTCTTCGCATGTCCCTGCTCCAGGGGCCTCCTCCAGGTCTCCTCGTTCTCCATCCTGCTTCCTTCCTTCTCCAGGTTCCTTCTCTGTCCAGCCAGCCCCACCCAGGTAGGGACCTCCCCTACCTGGGGACCACACCACCTAGCCCTTGTGGGACCGGAGGGGACACCTGTCTGGCCCCGTCCTCCTCTTCCGCCTCACTGTCCTCCCGGTGCCCACCTGTCACGAGCTGATAAAATGTTCTGGAATTAGCGAGTGGTGACAGCTGTATAACTTTGCCAAGGCACTAAAACCTCTGACCCCTCTGACTGTACACTTTAATAAAAGGGTGAATTTTATGGTACCTGAGTTACCCTGCAATAAAGTTACTATGTATTTAAAATATATACTTAAAAGTGACTTGACTTTAAAATGTAACAATAGCCGTGTGTTAAATAAATACTTCGTTAAACCTTTAGGATTTTTTCCCCTCTCTCCAGGATTCAAGATAATAAAGCTGTATATTTGCTGCTTGGAACAAAACCAGCTGCAACTCTGTCCTCAGCTGAAACTAAGAACAAGAGCAGAGACCCAAACAGATTTTAGTTCACACCCAACACAATTTTAACAACAGAAGAGGCACACAACTGGGGGTTCTTTCTCTGACATCTCGGAGGACATTATTTTAATCACTCTGTCCCCTCCCTCTCAATCCAAAGTATCCTCCTCCAAAAAATTCCTACCGGCTGTTCCAGAGCCCCCCAGGAAATGTTTTACACCCAGAGAGAAGGTTTTTAAAACACAGCAGCTCTGAGCCACTTTCTGGGGAAAAGTAAAAGTTCAACAAGTAACAAAGTAAGAAAGAAACAATGACTGGAGGGACCTGACAGCAGCTGGGCTTTACATTATGTAAGAGAGTGACACGGAAGTGTCACTCACAGACGGAATCTCAAGACATGGAACGGGGCCCAGGGTGAGCGAGGGAGAAAGAACGAGACCTTGACATCGGGATCAGAACTATGCTAACCACGCGTAGGTAAACACCTCGGGAGGCACAGCTGGTGACCGCCGGAGTCCCAGGAGCAGGACAAGGGTGACAGCCCTGCAGCCGGAGGCGGCGGCTGCTGTGTGACGGGGGAAAGCGACACCAGTGTCTGCAGAAACAGTCCACCTGCTACTTCACCTTGAAAGTGGCAGCACTCTCAAGGGATCCATCCGAGGGACCCCCAGGGGCCCTCATTTACTAGGGGAATACGCTACACAAACCCACGACGAGTCACACTTACAGGAATTCGATTTATTATGCCTTCCAGCTGTACGCTTATCTCAGAGCAGCTCTTCTCTCCAAAGGGCCTGACCCACAGAGACAGCGAAGTATTGACCAAAGGCAGACTGATGGACACAGTTCAAGCGACAACAGAGATTCTTTATTATTGGGAACGTCCACTTACAAGCAGGCCTGGGACAAGCGCATGCACGGGACACCAACACCGTGAGCATCTGCCACGCACTTCAGACTTTACTGCATGCACCTTATAAACACGTCATCCGTCAAACCCCAGCGGGTCCTTCCTTAGAGCGGGGGAGCCACCCGAGCCTTGCGTTTCTCTACACAGCCCCACGATTAATCATTCACCCAGACACCTGCACTAGCATTCCCAAATCGCCCTTGGCCATGGGGTCGTTTGTGCTGTCCTGAGCTCTCAGGTCGAGAGCAGAGATGCCCCGATGCCCCTTCGGCGCTGCGGCTGGAGTTCCACTCTCCAGGAAAGGCAAAGGGAAACTTGTTCTTCACTTCCACGGTAAAGGTGTTCAAGAAACGATGCCCCCTGGGCCGGCCATCTCTCTGCCAGCGTCCACCTCGACAGCAACAGGTAAAGGGGAAGCGGACGGACAAGAGCTCGCGCAAGGGCCAGCGGGCGCTGCTCCCTGCGGACATCGGGAGCTGCCCGCACCCCCAGCCCCGCGTTCTTCGCCCCCAAAGCACGGGAGAGAGGGGTCAGTTAGACGCCAAGCGCACAGCGTGGTAGGGTTTGCTCCCCGACGCTCGCGGGCGGGGCGCCGGCTCCGGGGGTCCCCAGCCACCGCGCGGGTCATCACCGCGTTCCGGCCGCGCCCCGGGGCTCAGTGCCCG